TATGTAATATAACCCATATTTGAAAAAGGAAAAAATCAGGTAAAAAGTTTCTTTTAATTTTTAATTTGCAAACTTTCGAGCAAATTCAAAATTAAAGGAAACTTTTTACCTGATTTTTATTTTCACTTTTTCAAATAATTTCTGGGTAACATATTTGTTCACATATTTGTCAATTACCACTTTGCAATGATTGTTGACATATTTGTGACCATCTGTCTGACCTTAAAGGATCAGGGTTTATCTCTTTGTTTCTTTTCTTGTATAGTGAATTGTTTCTGTTTAACAATGGTAAATTTACTTAAGCAGAGATATCGGGTTTTGTGTTTTGAAGTAAAAAAATGATCACAGATATAATTTGGATTATAAATTAGAAACACAAAGTGACCAAATCCTGGGTTTGATCTTATTGCCTTGTATCACCAATCTACAACTACTCTCTCAGACACAAGGTAATAAGACCAAATCCAAATAAATAAATAGTGTGTGACATTTCAGTAACAGCGTTGTTACCATCTTCAGACAAAAGTATTAAATTTTGTCTTATTGTGCCTTATCATTTCTCCACTTAGGTTTCCATAAGTTTTAGAGATGTGCTACAAGCATGGCAGTATTAGTATTTTCTGTGGTCACTCGTGGATGTGGACTCTCATAAAATAAGAAATGTCACAGTGGACATAAACTCATGTGCATATCTTCAAGTCTCATTCACCATTATTTCATTTTAGATATGGACATATGCAGGTTTTTTTTATATTTATGTGTATGTGATTTCTTGGGACCTCTGGGACCAGTGATGCTAGACGAACCTCGATGTCAACTCTACCGTGCAGTCGTGGTGGAAGGCGACACAGCTGGGCCAAAGGTGAAATAAACAAACAGAGATTCTACTAAGAAGCGTCTGAACGTCAAGAAGGAATGGGACGAGGAGGTTTCTGGCAGGAAAGGATTACCTCTATAGGAGCGGCCTACGCGGACTGAAGGACTGAAACAAAAGACTGAAGACTGAGTCTTGGGGCCTCCTTTTATAGCTTCCCTGGGTCCAGGCAGGTCACTGCCCTTTTCTGACGTAAACAGGGGGGGGGAAAGTTACATCATCCAGGAGGGCCACGACCTTGTAAAAATTGGACTGGGCTCAATAGGCCTACTTTCTTATTCTCACTTAGGCCTGATTAGTTTTAGCCTTAATTTTCTCCTGTTAATCTCCATTCCTTCTATCTGTACAGTTGCTATACCTTATTAGTCTTACGCGGTACAGATTGATGTTATTTGATGCTTTCTATTTGCAGTAAATAAGAAGTTATATACAGTCACGTGGTGGAACATGTGGTAGTAGATATCTGGATTATTTACAACAATTCCATTGTCTTAAATCATCACATGTATATATTAGTTGGCCACAGAGAATGGAATCAGAAACACAGCGCGCCAGAAGGCAGTGTGTTCTAAACTTTTCTAAATAAACAAAGTGTGTTTTCCCAGCTGTAATTTTTGATAAGTTGAGGGAGTAGGCCCTAAATTAAAAACACCTACGAATTGAAGGTTTTGAATTGTGGACTTTTTTTTTTTTTTTAATTATTCCTAGTACACGTGGTACAGGCCATGATAATAATGGTGGGTAGTTGCGACTGCTTTTACCTAAGCGCACCACATGTCTACACATGTGAAAAGCAGTTAAACTTTGCACTTACAAATGTGCCAGAGCCCCGTTTAGTTACTTGCACTCGTTGGTAGGGTTGGACTTTTGCAAGAATCGGGAGCCATTGGAGCATTTTTTTTTTTTTTTTTTTAAATCAGAAAAAAGTGTCCAATGCGGGAATCGAACCCTGGTCGTAGTGGTCGAAAACCAAACGCTTTAACCAGCCTTCCACCGACCCCCATTGTGGACATGGAGACTCAGAGTGCCATATGGAAAGATTACAAATATATCAATATTAAATGTAATTGATCCTATTACATCCCTAGAATCCCAACTATGTAAACAAAGGCCAATCGGACACATAATGAAGACAAATGGTTTAGAAAAGTTGAAAAAGTGAAGGAAGAGAGGAAGACCTGCAATGTTTACACACTTGATAACATTTTAAAAGCCTGCTGTAATATTTTTCTCATTAAGTACTTTGTCTGATGATGATAACAATGCTGTTACCAAAATGTCACAAACTATTTATTTGTATATACAGTAAAACCCCGATAATACAAACCCTGGATATAGCGAACCTTCCCCTATAACGAACCCACGGCGATTCCCAATTCCATTCCATTGAAAATACCATCGTTATAACGAACTTTGCGATTTTTAAAATAACGAACTACCCCTATAACGAACCTATTTTCGGTCCCAAAATGATAAAATCTATTAAAAATACTAGGCTTATAACAAACTTAAAATTGTAATTTAAATTTTTTTTTAAATAACAAAAGTTTGAGCATGTTTCATCTCACGAATCGCGATTTCAAAACAAAAAATTAGCGGCATTGTTTGTTTTCAATTCCATTATATTTTTGCTGTATGTTGTATAAATTTTTACACATTATACTTTTATTTAATAGAATATCTTTGCATTCAACAATTTTGAAATAGAAGAAAAATACAAATGGCTTCCAAAATAAAGAAAAGAAACAAAGAATGGCGTTCTAAAAAAAATAAACAGTGGCAGCATGCCCTTTTAGAAGCGTTCTATATCAAGTTTAACCTAGGCTAAATAATAATTCCAAATAATTTTAAAGCCAGAAATGGTTTGAATAACAGGTTAAAAAACAAAATTTAATATACACTTCAGAAGAATATGTGGAAACTGGAATTGGAAGAGAAAAAAAAAAAACAGTTCCCCCAAGTTCCCCCGTGTCTCATGGGCCACAAACAAATCGACTTATAAATTCTCAAAAACTACCACTACAGTTCTATTTTTAGAATGGAATTTTTGTTAGGTATATGATTCATTCAGGGTTCGCGGATATTCCCTCTGGCCGGTCGTTTTACCACCGATTTTGTGTTTGCAAATTGGCGTTTTTTATTCACAATTTTACCGATCGCGCTATCGTATCAACATGTTTCACGTCCGATTTTTCTGAATTGTATACTTTTGATTCATTCTCAATTGATTCAGAATACACGGAGCTCTTTTCCTTTGATTGAAATAACGATATTTTAAGACAATTCTGATTTTCAAATTTCACTTTTCACTTTCAAACAACAAGGTATTAGAGGCATTTTTTCAAGTAAATATAGTATTATATTATTTGAGAAAGATGTTCTAAAATACTCTTATACCTTTTAAATATATAAATAAAAAGGTTTTGCCTAGGGGATTTGGCTTATTTTTTAAATTATACATAGGTTTATATATAAACATGTATGCTAATGATAAGAAGAACCTATTATCAAATGACTTCTTTTGATATTCAGCATTACTGTAAAGAAATAGGTCAATTTAGGGAATTAAAGCAAAGTGACCATTATTAAGTGGCTGCCTTTTCCTGTTTGTATGGCTGTTTTTTAATTATACGGTCTAAAAATTTGGAAAAGTTTAAAAAAATGGCCAAACCATGGCTATAGTGAACCAAAAGCTCTGTCCCATTGGGGTTCACTATAGAGGGGTTTCACTGTAGTTGTATTACCTTGTGTTTCTAATCTATAATCCAAATTGTACCTTGTCCTTACTCTGAGATAATTTCCTCTCTCTCTCTCTTATAGAGTGGTCTAGGAGATATGTAAATACAATGACTTCTTACTGGAGAACTGCACATTAATGAAAATGGTCATTTTGACATTGATAGCTTTCCTATATATAGAGGTGTCATGGAGGTTCTACGGTAAAAAAATACAATTTGGAATGTTTTTTTTAATGTGGAAACCACACAATCATTGATGTGCTGTGTGCTCCCAGACCATCATAGAATGTCTCAAGTACCTAGCCACGGGGGACATGCCCCCCAACTCCAACAGGGGCCATTCCTTCATCCATCACCCCCAGGTGGCCAATGAGGTGGAGGTCAAGGGTCAGATCATGTTGGAGATCCAGGACATCAAGGGCAACAAGTTCACCTGCACTCGCCGTCTCATGGCTACACAGAAGGTACTCTGTCCACTGTTACCATCACTCACTATTTATTAATTTGGATTTGGTCTTGTTACCTTGTGTTCCTAACCTCTAATCCAAATTTTAACTTATCTCATTGGAGTTTCAAGTTCACTTTATTCTTTAGAATCTCTATACGTATTGGCTGTTTATTATAATTATCTTTTTCCCCACTGTGATAAACCATGCACAAGCAATCCCTCCATTTTAAGGTAACAAGACCAAAACCACAAATAAACAAATAGTGTGTGACATTATGGTAACAGCGTTGTTACCATCATCAGACAAAAGTACTAAATGATGAGGATAAAAATGCTGTTACCGAAACATCACACACTATAATGATAAAGCACAATTTGGATTGTAGATTATAATGCATTAAAGTAAAACCTAATCCAAATAATTTAATAGTGTGTGATGTTTCGGCAACAGCATTGTCACCATCATCAAACAAAAGAAATCTTTTATCACTTAATCATTTTATTCTGTTGCCGAAACATCACACACTATTAAATTTTTTGGATTAGGTTTTATTTAATTGTATCACACACTATTTAGATTTGGTCTTGTTACCTTATGTTTCTAATCTCTAATCCAAATTGTACCTTATCAATCCCTTCCATTTAATTTTAGCAACCACTTTCCTGAAAGATCATCTTTGTAAAATTAACAAATTAAATAGTCATAGGGAGTGGCATGTCGCGGTGAGCCATGAAAAACTATAATACTTGAACAAATATTATTTATTGCCACAGTAGACATCTAAAGTAACAAGACTACTGGACTCTGGACTGGACCCCTCAACTTTATGTCCTATTTATAGCACAAATAACTGAAACTATGTAAATTGCGCTACAACAAATATGCAAAGATAAGGCCCAATTTAGATTATAAATACAAGGTAATAAGACCAAATCCAGACCCTCAATAGCTCAGTTGGCAGAGCGGAGGATGGTTCAACGGTGATCCTTAGGTTGCTGGTTCAAATCCGGCTCAAGGGTCTTTTTTAGACAGTATTTATTTATCTGAATTTGGTCTTATTACCTTGTGGAAATATACAAAGAGTAAATATGCAAAGACAACAGGGAGGTTCTACTGATGTCATATCTCCCAGAGAGATAAACACAAGGTAATAAGACCAAATCCAAATAATTAGTGGGTGATATTTCGGTAACAGCGTTATTACCATCTTCAGACAAAAGTACTGAAATCTATTCATATCATTTCAGTAATTTTGACTGAAGATGGTAACAATGCTGTCACACACTATTTATTTGGATTTGGTCTTATTACCTTGTCTCTATAATCCAAATTGTGCCTTATCCACCCAGAGATATGCAGCACAGTGAGATGTCCAGGCCAAGAAGCTGGAGATGAAGACCCTGGAGAGTACAGTCAGCCGGGAGGACGCCATCACCAAACGGGTGAGTCCACAACAGTGCGACAGAGAGTTTCCGTAGAAAATTCTGTGTCAACTTGTGGCATTACTTGACAAAACAATGAGAACACAATAAACTATTATTATTGAACACAAGGTAATAAGACCAAATAAATAAATAGTGTGTGACATTTCGGTAACAGCGTTGTTACCATCTTCAGACAAAAGTACTGAAACTACATTCAGTGTATGTTCACTTCTCTATATGTCCACTATCTTCCCCTCATGAAAGTACATTCAGTATACTTTTGTCTGAAGATGGTAACAACGCTGCTACCGAAACGTCACACACTATTTATTTATTTATTTGGTTTTATTACCTTGTGTTTATAATCTATGATCCAAATTGTGCCTTATAATTATTATTATTAAACTAGAGATTTATTTTAAGTATATTCTTTTTTTCCCTTATCTCCCCTCAACCATATATCAAGCCTGTAGAAATTGACTTTTGTTGGAGTCTGCTGGAGATGAGTAGAGCTCATCAAAGGAGATTTGACATCCATAATGATTAGATGAAGTAGAATGTCATTAAGACTGGGAGCACTGCCCAGTGGCAGGCCACTGACTTAGCTCCAATATGACTTAAGGAACAGACGCCATGTGCAGCTGCTCTTAACATAAGAGTACAGACTCATCCTGGAGCCCTTACAGGGTATTATCAACCGGGCCAGCTGAGCCCAGGTGTTTTGGCAAGCTTGTTACTGCTCCCCCTCCTCCTTTTTCATCCAGGCTTGGGCCCGGCAATGGTGGAGTTACCGCGCTGTTACAGAGTTACAGAATATTATATTCATATAAAATATATGAAATTATGCCATTGTTATATTTAATGTAAAATAGTATAAATATTAGGTGTTTTTTTTTTTTTTTTAAGTTTTTTTTTACTGTTTATGCTTAAAATGTCAACTTTGACTTTTTAAAATTACATATATACATCTCAAATACAAGGTAATAAGACCAAATCCAAATAAATAAATAGTGTGCGACGTTTCGGTAACAGCGTTGTTACCGAAACGTCACACACTATTTATTTATTTGGATTTGGTCTTATTACCTTGTGTTTATAATCTATAATCCAAATTGTGCTTTATCATATACACATCTCTAGATGTGTAGTACTTCGGTGGAGCACAAATCTCTTAAATCTTCTAATTGCCTTTGAATAAAATAAATAAATAAATAATAGTCAAATACACCTATCCCCTGATTTACACGGTACTTGTTTTACACGTTTTTGCTTTTACACGGTTTTCCAAATAAGTTTTTTTTTTTTGTTGTTTTTATCGCACTATACTAAATGCTACTGTGATTGAACACATGTGCTGTGTACACATCTCACGAGGAATCCCGAGCTTATGTGCTGACTTGTTTCACACGCACACTGTGTCTGTATTTCTTTGCATAAAAATTTCGCAAAAATTTTTAATTTTCGATTTACACGTTTTTCTCAGGAACGTATCTACCATGTAAATCGGGGGATAGGTGTATTCTCTAATTTTATAAAATAAATAAACAAAATATGTTAGCAACTGGCTCTTTTGAAATTGCTAAAAATGAAACGGAAGCACCCTAGCCACTACTGAATGTTTGAGTATGTGCAGATCACAGAGCTGAGCAGCAAGTGTGCGGATGTTGACCAACAGGTGGGTGTACACACAGAGCCTATGTAGTGCTTCTTTCTGTTGGGGTGTCATTTCTTTAAAAAATAACTCTTTTAAGTAATAAATACAACGTTGTTACCATCTTCAGACAAAAGTACTGAAACAGTACTGTTGGGAATATTGGGAAGACTTGGCTAATCGGTAATGAGAACCCCTCGAAGATTTTCCCACTATAGTCTACCAGGCCTTCTTACATCACACTATTCTCTGTTGTTGAAGTACCGCCGGCTATATTGGCATACCAGATGTCAAAACTTCTGAACGGATTCACTACTGATTTCTTTAACCAGTAGTTTTGTTTGTCAACAATGTTGTTACAGGAAACGTCACACACTATTTATTTATTTGGATTTGGTGTTTTACCTTGTGTTTGGTTATAAGGGGGAAAAAAATGGCCAGAACCTGGATGGATTCAAAGCCTGGAAATTTCAATCTTGATACATGATACTACACCACCTCTGTGTATTCATCCCCTTGCTATAGAGGGTACTTGCCTTGATTCAACTAAGCCTTATAGTACCACATACAGGGTTAATCTGAGATACAACAACAAACTTCAGTCATAGAGCCTTTTTAAAAAGTCCGGGGGTCAGTGGAAGGATAGTCTAAACCATTAGTTTTCGACCGCCGCGTCCCGGGTTCGATTCCCGCATTGGACACTTTTTTATGTTTGAAAAAAAAAATGCTCCAATGGCCCCCGATTCTTGCAAAAGTCCAATCTCACCAGCGAATGCAAGTAACCAAACGGGGCTCTGGCACATTTGTAAGTGCAAAAGTCGAACTGCTTTTCACATGTGTAGACACGTGGTGTACTTACAGTAAAAGAATTCGCCTACTTCTACCCACCATGATTATCATGGCCTGTACCACGTGTACTAGGGATAAGCAAAAAAAAAGAAAAAAGTCAGAAAATGAATATGATGGTGATAGATGTCTTAATAGTTGACAAATCTAGATGGAACACAATATTGAGGTCTGGAAGGAATGATTTCCAAATCCAGAATATATAATCCCAAGGTTTGGAAAATATAAACTTATGGTAACAAAACTAAATCTAAATTAATGAAATGCTTGTGATGTTTCGCACACAGCATTGTTACCATCCTCAGACAAAAGTTGTTGTTGTTTCTTATCCCCTTGTGTAAAGATTACACGAATTCCATGAGTTCATGCTCCTCGAGCTGTTTCAGACAAAAGTACTAAAGTTTGTCCCTGTATGTCTATTTGGACTTGGTTTTATTACCTTTTGAATTTCAGCCTTAATCCTTGAATCCAACTCTCACAAAAAGAAGAGTTTCTACCACAGTGGTGTTTGTCCAGATGAGCGTAGTGCTGGGAGTGGCCAAGCCCATCATCAACTACGTGGTGTTCTGCCACCAGGAGGACTCCAACTGGTGAGTCCGTCAGTCCGGGAGTCCCACAGATGTCACACTTGCTGCTCCAGGCCCATGTGTGAGAGCAAGCTCCTCAAGCAGAAGTTTGACGAGATCTTCACGGCCACCCACTACATCAAGGCCCTGGACCTCATCAAGAAGAAACAGACAGAGCTGGTGAGTGGGCCAAACCTGCCTTTGTTCAACACCCGAGGGATCAGAATTAAAGTTTTTTTTTTTTGGCTTATCCCTTGTACACGTGGTACAAGCCATAATAACCATGGTGGGTAGAAGTAGGCGACTGCTTTTACTGTAAGTGCACCACATGTCTACACATGTGAAAAGCAGTTCGACTTTACACTTACAAATGTGCCAGAGCCCCGCTTGGTTACTTGCACTCGCTGGTGGGGTTGGACTTTTGCAAGAATTGGGGGCCATTGGAGCATAGAATTAAAGTAAAGAGATTATATCGTATTACACTCTATCATTTCTCTTTAATTCAACCATTCAACAGTTGCAATTATTCAAACAATCTCAATTGAATTGCCAACTTGTAGCTCAGCCAACTCTGGTTCAGAGGTCGGTCCTATTGGAACGGCTTCTATATATTTTTCTGTACAATTCACCTCTTCTAATTCCTTTCCAATTTAGCCGGCTAATATTCAACTCTCCCTTGAGCTATAGACCTAAAGGAAGAGAAAGGCATAACAGACTCATTCACAAGAAAATAAGACCTAATCCAAATAATTTATACACTAATAAATTATTTTGATTAGGTCTTATTTTCTTGTATTATAATCTATAATCCAAATTGTGCTTTATCAGAATCATTCACCTTGTTTTTAACTTTAAAATTTTGCTACTGAAGAGAAGAGCACATGAAACTGTTTAAAATTGAAATCTGTGGAGATTTAACAAGAGTTTCTATCCAATCAAATATTGACAGCCATTCCCTGAGTTGTGCCTGCATCAACGCTGTGTGTGGACAGAACCACAATCTGACAGTCATCAAGACGGACATCGGCCATCGCGAGACCTTCAAGAAGAAAGCAGAGGAGGTAGGGATGTGTCACCTGAGCCAGCATTGATGTCAATAACCTCGGTGACAGATGACGGCAGCCCTGGGCGAGAAGAAGAACAGGCTTCACTCCACCCAGGAACACATGGAGGACATCAGGACCCAGCTAGGCCCCATGGAGGTTAGCTAGCTGTCCAGCTCCCCCGACTGGTGGCTGACTGGGGCGGTGTGGTGCAGAAAGAACTGAAGGACATCCAAAAGAAGGAGACAAAGATTAAGGAAATTGAAGGGAAAAAAGGTAGGCATCAGCCCCGCTGGTTGTCACACCCGAGAGTTTCAGATCAATAGTTTTGAATGCAAAGGGAAATGATAGGTACAAGGTAATAAGACCAAATAAATAAATAGTGTGTGACGTTTCGGTAACAGCGTTGTTACCATCTTCTGGCAAACGTACTGAAATCTATTCATATCATTTCAGTATTTATGTCTGAAGATGGTAACAACGCTGTTA